ACCTTCAAGCCCTGGGCCAGCTCAGCCCTGCATTATTATCTTTATTGATAGTTTCTCCTTACTCATTGACATCTCTTTTAAAGCTTTTTGAGGGTTTATAGTGTGTGTGTGTGTGTGTGTGTGTGTGTGTATGTGTGCGTGCTTTGTCTGCATGAACATTTGTGTACCATGTGCATGCAGTGTCTGCAGATTCATAAAAGAGCATTAGAACCCCCAAAAGTAGATTTAAGACAGTTGTGAGCTGTCATGTGGGTGCTGGGAACTGAACCTGGGTCCTCTGGAAGAATAGCCAGTGCTCTTGACTGCTAACCATCTATAAAGAACTTTGACATCTTTTCTTCAGTTCAAAGAATTCTTATAGTATCTGTCTTAGAAAAGAGCTCAGGCTGACCTCAAACTCACTATGCAGCCGAGTCTGACCGTGAACCCCAGGTTTTGCTGTCTCCTTCCAATGCGGAAGTGTAGCAGGTCATGGAGAACAGCTAGAGTAGAGACAGACTTCTCAGCTTTTGTCTCTGGGCTTTTCATGCCTCTTTCTCTTGCTCTATGTGCTCAACAGGGATTTTGTCAACTTGACACAAGCTAGAGTCATCTAGGAAGAAGGAACCCCAACTGAGAAAATACCTCCATCTGAATGGCCTACAGGCAACTCTGTAGGGCATTGCTCAATTAATGATTGATGTGGGAGGGAGGACCCAACCCAGGAGGGCCCAACCCACTGTCGGAGGGTCCAACCCACTGTGGGAGGGTCCATACCTGGGCTGGCTGTCTGGGTTGTATAAGAAAAAAAACACTGAGCAAGTTATGGTGAACAAGACAGCATGCAGCGTTCCTCCATCTTCTCTCCTCATCAGTGCTTGCCTCCTGGTTTTCTGCCTGCTTTAGTCTTTGCCTTAACATCCTCGGTGATGGACTGGGATATGCAAGCCAAACCCTTTCCTCCAAAGTGGCTTTTGGTCATGATTTTTATTGTAGCAACAGAAAGCAAACAAGGACAGTCTAAGATTTCTATTGAGAAGTTGGCTGTCAGTTGTGGATGTTGTCCACTTGTGGCCCTAAGAATCCTCTGTTTTCCCCTGAAAGGTTGTTTTAAGATGTTTAGAACCTGTAATTTCAGCACATAAGAGGTTGTGGCAGGATTTCCATTGACTTGGAGGCCAGCCTGGGCTATATAATGAGTTCCAGGCTAGCCTGGGGTATATTATGAGTTCCAGGTTAGCCTGGGCTGCAGTGTGAGCTCTGCTTTTAAGTACCAACAAGTACTCCAGGCAGGGAAGCAGGTAGGTTAATTACAGATCCTCACCTCTCCCTCTTCCTTACATCCACCCTCCAGCCTCACCCCAGCTCTGCAGCAGAATACCTTCTGTAGCCTCCATCACCCATCTCCAGTGGATCCTACAGATCTTCTTCAAACTTTCTTCCCCTCACTTTGTCCCAGGCTCCAACTCCAGCAGGCATTTCCTGGGAACCCACAGGCCATTCTGACCAGGGAAGCAAGTATGCTAACTTCTGATCTTCCCTCCATTCCTCCAGTCCATCCCTCCCGTCTCGTTCATTCCTAGCTGTGTAGCAGACCTTCTTCTGTGACCTATCTAAGCAGATCCTGGAACACCCTCCTATATTGTTACCCCCCCAAGCCCAGGCCACCCCAATTCCTAAGTCTCAGGTCAAAACACCCAGAAACATATTTTACCTGCAATCCCCAGTAACCGCATCTATCAGGAGCTCAGAATATTTTCCTACAGGCAACACACCCTCCTAAGAACCAGAGAGAAAACAAAAATCAAGGAACAAAACACCCACACAACAAAGATAAGTCCAGATACCAATACCTAGAATTACAATCTTTCCGAATCCTAGAAGCCTAGACACCAGTGTAAAAACACAACCAACAACAACCAGAGCAATATGTCTCCACTAGATCCCAACAACTCTAGCACAGTAGGCCCTGAAGATTGTAATATAGCTAAGTCACAAGAGAAAGACTTTAAATAGCCCTTATGATTATAATAGAGTTCCTTAAAGAGGAAACCAATAACTCCCTTAAAGAAATCTATGAAAATGCAACTAAACAGCCTAAGGAAATGAGTACAACAGATAAAGACCTGGAAGTGGAATAAGAATCAATAACAAAAATACAAACTGTGGAAAATCTGAGAATTTTAGGAACTCAATTAGGAATCCTAGAGGAAAGGTTCACCAATAGAATTTAAGAGATAGAATAGAGAATCATAGACATTAAGAACATGACAGAAGAAATGGATGCCTCAATCAAACAAAATGTTAAATCTAAAAAAGACCTGGCACAAAACATCCAGGAAATCTGGGACACAATGAAATAACCATAATAATATCTAAAAGTAATAGGACTAGAATAAGGAGAAGAAACACGGGTCAAAGGCACAGAAAATATTTTCAGCAAAATCATCGAAAAAAATTTCCCTAATCTTAAAAAGGAGATGGCTATCAAAGTACATAAAGCAGAAAGATCACCAAATAGATTGGACTAGGAAGAAAATGTGCCCTTGACACATAATCAAAACACTAAATTACTGAACCAAAAAAGTATATGAAAAGTTCCAACGGAATAAGACCAAATAACATATAAAGGCAGAACTATTAGAAAAAAACATGACTTCTCAGTGGAGATACTAAGAGCCAGAATAACCTGGACAGATTCCTTGCAGACTCTTAAGAGACTACAGATGCCAGCCCAGACTACTACACCCAGAAAAACTTTCAATCACAATAGATGAAAAAAATGAGACATTCCATGATAAAACCAAATTTAAGCATCATCTCTCTACAAATCTACCAACACAGAAGGTGCAGCCATACAGAATGTACTAGAAGGTAAGCTCCGATCTAAAGAGGTTAACTACATCTAAGAAAAAAACAGGAAATAAATAATACCAGACCAACAAAGTCAAAGGAGGAAGCACACAGACACACACACACACACACACACACACACACATCACCAGACTATTAACAACAAAATAACAAGACTCAACAACCAAGAATCATTGGTCATTGATATCTCTTGACACCAGCAGGCTTAATTCCTAAAATAAAAAGACACTGACTAATACATGGATGTGAAAACAAGATTCATCTTTCTGCTGCAGCCAAGAGACACATCTTGACATCAGTGATAGACATAACTTAGGGTAAAGAGTTAGAAAGACAGCAAAATTTAAGGGGCATTTGAAAGGCAGTATGGAGACCTGAGACAGTAGAAACTTCCTAAAATATATACGCATATGAAGGCAATCTAAATGAAATCGCCAAGTAATGGAGGAGGCAGAATCCCAACTGGCCATCTCTTGCTGCGCAACAAAGCTTCCAGTATCAGGAGTGGATTACATATATTTGAGTTTTTGGCCGAAGGGTGTAATGGGAATCCCCAAACAAAACATGCTATTGTCAAGACCATATATTGTTCTCCGCAAACTGACAAGTTCCCATTGCTGAAGACAACACCCATATTGAACATGGAGATGTACTGCTGGTGCCTTCACACCTATATTCCAGCATCTTTGTTACTGATTGTCTGCATGCTATCAAAAGAGTCATGTAAACATCAACCCAGCACAGACCCTTTATCTACAGTGGTGTCCTGCCTGCAAGATACATTAGGGCAAAGGTGATACTAAGCTTGTGGGAGGAACCAAAAAACTGATTTGATTTAAAGATCAACTCCATGAGATGTAATTAGCACAGACTGTGTGACCAAGAACCTGAGACTAGATAGCCCTGGGACCTAGGTGAAACCAAATACTACTGTTCTGAATCAAACAAAACCAAAACAGCAACAACAAATGTATTGGTAAAATGATTCCTAATGGTCAGGGGGAGGTGGCATATGCCTTTAATCCCAGCTGAGGTAGTGGTACAAGAGTCAGTGGAAGCAGAGGCAGAGGGATCTCTGAGTTTGAGGCCAGCCTGGTATGCAAGAGCTAGTAAGAAAGGATTGGGATGTGAGGCTCTTGGACGTCAGATATGTTTCTGTTTTAATGTTGAGACAGGGTCTCATATTTCTCAAGCTGTCTTCACACTGGCTATGCAGGTTTTTCTTGAGCTTAGATCATCCTGCTTCCACTTCACAAGGGCTAAGATTTCAATTGGGGCCCCATAGACCAGTGAAGACACCACTAGCCATCGAACCCAGGTCATGCTACATGCTATGCAGTCACTCTGTCAAGTGAGGTATGTCTACAGCTGTTGTCTTGATTTTCCCACTGTCCTTTCTTTTCCCGCAAGAGGTACTGTGACTGACAGAGGCCTGTAGCTAATTCTGCATTGTTGTCTTTGGTGCAGAGTGAAGAGCAACACACTCAGCCTGACGGCTGTTTCACTTGGTGGATTCCCTAGTTCAGTTTTCTCTGCTTAGGGATCATCACACTTTTGCCAGCACCCTCATGGGGGCATCTGTATGTGCTGGGGAATGCAGGGCAATGTTCTAAGCTAAGCACATGGCTTCCATGACTGTGCCCTTAACCTAAATCCCACGCTGTAACTAGCTCTGCAGGGTCTTCCTGAATGTGTTTTCTATCAGTTGTTCTTGAGGAAGGTGATCTTTCCTTGGTTATGTTCATCTTAACATAGCCTCTCAGTGAGATTTGCTTGCTCATATTGATGAACATAGTGATTTTGAGGAAAGATTGAGAAATTTCCAACATGCTTTGAAAGAAAAGCTCAGTTCTCAACATTGGAAGTATGGCCTTCCATTCAAGCTAAGGAAACGCTGGGTTTGGAAGGAGGAAGTGCTGAATGGCTTCCTCTGTGTGCCCAGAGAGGCTCCTGGATGGGGATGTTGGGCTTCTGGTCAGGTCAGGACAGTTAGTTAGCAGGGTCACAAGTGTAGGTCACCATTACATCAGCAGTCCCTTCCCCAGACAATTCTACTGTTTCCCAGGGAGATCGTGGCATTCCATGTGATGTCACCAGTGTTGTAGCAACACCAACTGCCCTTAGGACATTCCTCGGTGCCCACAGGGTACGGCAGCAGTCATGTTCTCAAGACTGAGGCGTCTAATTAGGAGAGCAGATGGAGAATGTCCAGAGAACAGAGAGAGGCAGGAGGAGGCTGACGCTCAATTTGGGCTTAAAGCAGGAAGGAACAAATGGTTCTGGCGAAAACGCAGTGAGTCATGGACAAGAGGTGGGCAGCTTTCTAGAAGAGGTGGATTTGACGTGGGCCTTCCAGTAATTTGACAGAGGACCAGGAGACTCTCAGTAGCTAATGGACATCCCTGATTATCATAATTCCTGAAGGTCAAAGATTCCAGGGCATTAGTTTGCCCATCTCTTAAGCCAGAGTCTGACCAGGCCAAGGATGTTGTGCTGGGATTACCGCTTAGCTGTGACCTTTACTGCGGTTTGGGTTGATATGTGGGGAAGGAAGAAGACCAGCAGAAGCAGGGAGGGACTAATGTGTCCCCATCTTGGGGAGGCATCACTGTCTCTCACTCTCTATAGTCTCCTGTGGGTCTAGTTTCTCTCTGACATTAGTCACATGGGAAAATGTTTTTCTGGCCAAGACACTATGTCCTCTGACCTTACTAAAGAATTCTCCTGAGCACCTCTCCCTTACTGTAGCCCCCAGGGTTCTTTGTCAGCAGTTGAGAATGGCAGGCAGGTCTCTGGTGTAGACAAACACCTGTCCGAGGCATGGGAGCAGAGCAGAGACAGGCTGTCTCCTGCCAGCTTCAGTGATCCGGATGTCAGTGGGTGACTTTGGGAGTCCGTTGACCATGTTGTGCCCCTGAATGGCTTTTCAATTGGCAGCCATGGGTCTGCATTGACCAGGAAGGAGATCTGGGCTGCTCACAGCAACCGAGTGTTTATGCCATTATTCTCCCGGCATCTGAAACCCCAGGCAGGCTTCAGGGCTCTGGATCATGCTGCATCCTGGGCTGCTGTGAATACTGTGCCTGAAGAGGTGGTGTCCGTGTTCCCCTGAAACATGTCTAGGGAGGCAGAGGAAAGCCCTAGCTGCTTATGTAGCCCCATCTCTGGAGCGATGGGAGAGCTGAGGCCCACAGAGGGAGCATCTCAACCTGGCCCAATAATATGGGTTGTCACCAGGTTCCAGACTTGGTATATGTGTTTGGGCCACAGGGTGGCCTGTCCATCGTCTATGCCTTGTTGCTATGCAATATCAGTTGTGTTTCATCTACCCACAGATGCTGATACGGTGCCATCATCCAAACCAAGGCCCCGTACCCAGAAACAGATGCAGAAGGAAATGGAGAGGCTGACCAAGGAGCTGCAGCTGATGACCAGCCAGAGAAATGAGCTGCGAGATCATGTGATCTTTATCACGGAAGGAAAGGTGGATGATAGGTATCCATTGTTCCAGACTTCATGGGACTGTTGGCAATGTCACCTCACCTGCTTTCTTTTAAGGTCTTGGGCTCCACAGTAACATCAGACCTGTGCTTATGGGAGCTCATGGAGTCTGGACCAATAGACGGGGAGTCTCCATGGATGACCTAGGCACTCTGCTTGTGTGTGACAGTTGTATAGCTTGATCTCATAGTAGGACTCCAGTCAGTGAGATCAGGACCTGTTCCTGGAGCTTATCTGCCTTTTTGGAGTCTGCGCCCATGCTGGGTTTCCTTGCCTAGATATGACACAAGGCAGGGAGCGCAGGCTGGATTAACATGACATGCCGTGTTTTGCTCAAGTCCACAGGACGCCTGCCTGTTTCTGAGTGGGGACAGAGGAGGAGTGGAAAGGGAGGGAGGTATAGATGGGAAAGGGGGAACAGGGAGAAGAGAAGAGAGGGGTATATGTGAATTTGTATATACAATTTGTAAAAGAGGTGTCTAAAATTTTATTTAAATAAAATAAAAATGAAATTCTGAATTAAAAAAAAGGTGTTGGGTTCTAGGAGGCTGAAATTCCTGAATGTCCTAAATTCTTCTCAAGGAGAGGCAGCCCTGAAGCTGAGATGGGGACTCTAACAATTCTGCTTCCTCCAAATGAAAACCAGAGCCTGTGGTCTGAGTCACATAGCTCAGGGACTGGGGACGTAATGTGTGGTTTCCAGCATGCATTATCAAGGGACATGAGAGAGGGTGGCTTGTGTGAGATATAAGCTGCTGTTAGCTTGTGGGGAGTCTTTGGATTGCTTGACAGGAGACTGTGCTGAAAGCTGCTGGGAGCAGTTGGAGGGGTCTCTTCCTACTTGGTCCATCTCAGCGTAACTGGAAGTCCTGGGCTCATCACAGTTTCTCTAGGTTTGTGAAATGTACTCATTAACAATACTGTTCCATACATTGCTTTAAATCTGATTGTGGGTGCTCACCCTCTGTGTGTCTGTATATCTCCCCTTCTCTCTCTGTCGTTTCTCTCTCTCTCTCTCTCTCTCTCTCTCTCTCTCTCTCTCTCTCTCTGTGTGTGTGTGTGTGTGTGTGTGTGTGTATGTGTGCATACACACATTTTCTTGTTTTCCTGTCCCTACAGACTATGGTAGGAGGGATCTGTGCTGGGTCCTAAGGATTTGCCTGCACCAGTTTCTAGGCGATGCCAGTGCTGAGGTCTGAGAGCCAGACTTTAAGCTTTTAATGTCTTATGTGCTCACTGTAAAGGCACCTAGGAATCCCTTGTGGATTTTATATTGCTGTCTGTCTATTGGGTCTGAAACACAGAGTTCTGTTCTATGTCTTACTGCTCAATGACAGTCACCCAGGGCCTAGATTCGCTGTTCGGAAACAGAAGAGATTTTGTTTCAATATCTGGTGTTGCTAGACCTGTGTTATTCACTTCTGGGAACACAGAAAGCTCAACTGACCCTCTAGGCCTACTGAGTGAGCATATGAAGCTAGGACACCCTCTATCTGAGCCAGGCCCCTTCTGACCCAGGGTCAGGATAACAAGAAATAAGCACCACGGAGTCCCAGAACATAGTATCCAGAATGTGGCAACCCCTGGGCTGTGGTAGACCAGGATCCAGCTTGAGTTTCCATAATCCTTGAGGCCTGTGTTCATGGGATTCTTTCCTCCTGTTCTAGGCCCTACCACCCGCCCAATCCCCTGAATGAGAAAGTGAAGCTGCAGCACAAACAGGCCTTGTCAGCACTACAGCGCCTGGAGGACGAGAACACCAAGGCCTCAGAACAGCTGAGCGAGCTGATCAAGGAGACCGTCCTGTATCGGTAAGGGCACATCTTGTCCTGGACCCTGAAAGTTGTGGGACAGCCATCTCTGCCTTTCTGTTTCTCTGCATGGAGACTTCCTGCCTCTGCTTCTAGACTTTCTGCTTCTTAGCAAGCAGCTCTTGGACTTGTGTCTCTTGGACTCATTATTGGAGAGTGTGAAAGACACTGTTAGCCATACCACCATTGTCCAAGAGCCTCTGGAGCATCTAGATAGAAAAGGGCTTTGCCCCATGAGGGAAATGCCAGGCAGCACTGGGTGTCTGGAGCACAGGCCCAGGCTTTAGAGATCTGGTTGCTGTGGAACTTGTAGGTACAATAAGCTCACCTTTGGTCACCTGTACCCCCTTGGAGAGTATTTTTTCTCTATATGGTGAGGTTTCCCCATTACTATGGACAGTTAAGGTCAGTTGGGGGACTCCTCTTCCTATTGAAGGAATCTGGATCCTGTTTGGTGTTGGGTTTTCCAAAGTAATCTGATACTTTCTGGTATTAGCTGCTGTCTCACTTTGGCTTTCTGAGTGTAACTGTCAAGGCTGTATCAGACTCTTGGCTACATCTTTCAGGAAATATGACCTTTTGTGGTGCTGGCTCCTGGAGGCAGGGAAGGCAGGAGGAGGTGTGCAGGGCCTTACTATGCAGTGTGTCTCTCTAGCGGTCTCCACAGCCTGATCCTGATGCAACATAGGCAGCTGGAGAAGAAGGTGGACCTGCTGAGGCAGGAGAAGAAGAAATTGCGGGATGATTGGATTCTACTGATGCAACACGTAGAGGACTTGAAAGTGCTCTGTAAGGACCAAGAAGAGAACAATGACGTCAACACCCAGCAACAACAGGTAGGGGCAGGTAAATAAGTCAGGTTAAGGTCTGGCCCCCTTTGCCCTTCTGACTGCCTCTCTGCCCATCCCCCACCTGTGCTTTCATCCCCACCTGACTCATTCATGCTCCCAATAGTCACCCACCTCATGCTACCAGGTGTTCATTTCAGTGTCCATGCCCAGTACTTCTGGGAAGTTAGCCTCTTATGAGAGACTGAGTTATTGCTCTGTCTAAGTCCACAGCAATAGTCACCCAGGACCAAGAACTGCTGTCTGAAACAGGAGAACCATTCCTGCTGCTCTGTTTGGAGTGCAGTCCAGTAAAGGAGATGGTTCAATAACATTGCACACACCTACATGGATCTATGATAGGTAGCATTTTATGCACAGAGCTTGGAGTGAGAGAGGTCTGACTCCTGGGGCCCATTGAGTGCCCCTCACTGTCATGGATTAGTGAGGCATGGGGCCTTCTCCTTTCTTCCTGTGTCCCAATGAGTTCTCTTCCCTATTCTCAGCTCTCAGTTTCCAGTGACAGAGACTGAGTAGCAGCTCATCAGCCCTGTTGTCTGGGGTTAGTGCTGGACAGTTCTCCCATCCAGCAGACTAGAGTATGTGGTTGATTGGATGATCTGCTTGGGACTATTGACAAGCTTGTGTTCAATTGAGGGAGAATTGGGCCTTCAGGGGAAGAATTTCTCTAACCAGCTCAACATAGTCTGGCCAAGCAAATCACAACCATACTAATCTCCAAGAAATGATGGCTGAGTTGTGGGAGTATTCTGAAAGAGCTGGTATGGTTAATCTAAACTGCTCATCCGACATGATGTTTCAACAAACTTCATTAATCCCTCTCTGTTTCTCTTTCTTTAACTCTCAGTTCTTGTGGTGTGTGTGTGTGTGTGTGTGTGTGTGTGTGTGTGTCTGTGTGTGCGAGAGCACACATGCATATGTGTATGTAGTGTAAGCAAATGGGGGTTGTGGTGCATGACATACGTGTTCATTACCTAGCAGAGACCACTGTGTTTTTATTTAGTCTCTACCTTGTACCATACTTCCTTACTTCTCTGAATGTTTACTGTTTTCCTGCCTGGATGACCAGCAAGCATCTGGGATCCTTTGTATGTGCTTAGACTTGTATGAGATTGTGTAATCCTCCACTAAGAATACAATCTTCTAATGAACAGGAGCTCAAGGGCTTGGTGGAAAGACTTCAGTTCCTGCTGAAGCAGAAGAAAACAGACACCCAGAAAAAGGACTTAGCAGAAAAGCTGCGTCATCACTTTGAGTTCTCCCAGATGAGGTAGGATTCTAGACTGGGAGGACAGGGTATAGTCAAGGGGATCCCCTGTACCTTGGACTTCTGTCTTTTATAAGTTTCTGCTCCTCTGCTTGGCTCCGAGCTAGAACCATGGAAAGAAGCCCAAAGAAAATTGTGCTGGATCAGTCAACAAGAAATTCTATCCAGGAAATCATACGTTTGATGCTAGTGTGTTATTAGAATTGAGTCTAACTTTCTCCCTCCTGACCTTTCTCTGTTCTCAGTAGACTTCCCTTGAACTCTCAGAGACCTGCCTGCTTCAGCCTCCCCAGAGATGGGATTTAAAGTGTGCATCACCACACCTTGCTGAAATAACATTTTCATTTAGGAACATCCTGCGTAGAGTTTCCCATCTTTGAGCAGTGCTCCCTGCAATATTTGCCTATTTCCTTTTTGAAGGGTTCTCTGGATAGAATATATTAAGGACTTTCCAGGATGAACCCATGCAGATGCTTCAGCTACAGGAAAGACCATAACCTTCTCAGAGTGTACTGTAACAGACTCACAAAGAGAGCCAGGATGCCAATTCCCAGTTCTAGTCCTAAGGAAATACAAGATTCTGTTTGATCCCAGAGCCCAGGCAGCGTCAGTTTTCTAAGTACACATCAAGGGAAATGCTGTTCTAGCATGAAAGGCTGTATTACTGCTATCAATAACATGATGTGTTGATCAGTAACTCCTCATCAATACCAAGTGTATCGCTCATATACTGCTGGCTATGGTATTTATATTCTGCTGTTATGAACAAAATGATGTCTCTGTTCTGTAGGAGAATGTTCTAGTTTTCTAGTAAAAAGGACAACATACAAGTTCAGTTTTAAGTTATGACATGTGTCTAGGCCTGAGAATGGTTCTAGGCCCAGCAACTCTGTGATCTCTCTTCTTTGGGGGTATAAAAACAATATTAGTTCAAAGATCAATGTTGGTTCTCCAGGAAACCTGAGGTGTTGGGAGGTAGGAGCCAGACAGTTGACATGGCATGTCCTCTCCTGACCTGTGCCTTAACTGGTATCCTCTCTCAGGTTCAAAACCCTGCAGTGTAAGGTGGAAGAGGTCACAGCCAAGGATGAGTTCCCCTTGCAGAAGGAGCTGCTACAGCAAGAGCCACCTGCTGAGCCCCATCCGCAGCAACTTCTTAATTCCAGGGATGAACTTTATTCTTCAAATTTGGATTCCATCATGGAATAGGCCTTGAATATGTCTAGCCAGTGACCCAGTATGGCTGCTTCTGGGTCTTGATTCCCTTTCTTTCTTTATAACACTCCCTGAGAGAACTGAGGAAGCCAAAGGGAGCCACAGGCACCTTGAAACCATCACATTCTTCATATTAGGATCAAAGTCTCCAGACAAAAAGACACCCCCTGTAACTGTGAACCCACCAGTGAAGGAAATACCAGATGACCTCCAGGTGGTCATGCCCAATCTGATCCATGTGTCTGTTGACTCCATTTTCATAAAGAAAAGAAACCATCAAAACCATGCTTGGAGTACGGAAAACCAGAGAAAAAAGTTACTCCAAAGGCTACATCTACCATCAAGTGACCTCAGCCTTGGGGAGAATATGACATAGAACAGAAGAGAAATGACTACAGACATCTTGAGAAAGCTGTTCCAATCGTTGGCAGCCTCACCACCATGGCTATGAGGGAATGCTACTTAGTTTAATTTTTGTTTGGTTTTGTTCTAAATTTTTGTTTCTATTTGTTTCAGATTTGGCTTTGTTACTTTGATGTTATCTGTTCTTGTTATTGATTTTCATAATTTGTTAAGAGTATTATCTAGTGTTTATGTTGAATGCCCGTTAAAGCCCCCTTTGAGAAAAATGTATTCTTTTTTGAGATTTCAAAGTTAATTTATTTCACAGAGATGAAAATAATCAATAGTAAACTCCAAAGTGTTATGTGGCCAGCCTGCCACAAGTGCCAATAATTGAACTCGAGGCCTAATGGAGTGTTTTCTGTATTTGAACTTTTGGTGCAGCCGACAGATTATAGTCATAGAAAAGGCAAACTGGCTTTGCAGAGTTGATTCAGAATGGGACTTTTAACAAAATAACAGACCAGGCTTATTGGTAAATACAATAGCCCCAAAGAGAGAAGTACCATTCCAAGAGAAATCTGAAGAGTGGTTCACTATTAAGAAAGAGCAAGGTAGATGTAGTCAATATTTGTCTTAAACGTAATGATGCCTTTATGCCCTATATTTACTCTCTACCTAATTACTAGTTCCTTGATACATGTTTCAAATATTTTACTATTCAACATTTTATCATAACTGTGAACCATAAATCGTTGATTTTAAAATATATTCTTGCATTAAAATTTTAAAATTGTCAAATGACCAATTATATCAATTTTATCAACATTAAATTATAAAATTGATGGTAATTAATTAAAAGACAAAGAATGTATTAGTGATCATTGTTATGGATAAATATATAATTTTTCTAAACTAAAATATCTATAGTTGTATAAGTGCTATTAAACTTCCTAAAATTCACAGGAACTTCAAAATAGTGAGTCTCTACTTTATTCAGATAATAACAAATTATGTTCATTTCATTCTTTTTTTAAAATTGATTTAAATGTATTAAAATTTTTCACCTCCTCCCCTCTTGCCATTTCCCTACAAGTCTTCCTCTCCCCCTTCCCTCTCCAGTCCTAAGAGAAGTCAAAGGCCCTCCCACCTCCATTCAGGTCCAGGAATGTGTGGATTCAAATAGTCTAGGCTCCCAAAAAGCCAGTACATGCAGTAGAATCAAAACCCAGTGCCATTATCATTGACTTCTCAGTCAGCCCTCATTGTCAGCCATATTCAGAGAGTCCGGTCTGATCACATGCTCATTCAGTCCCAGTCCACTTGGCCTTGGTGAGCATTCATTAGATCAGTCCCTCCGTCTCAGTGGGTACACACACCCCAAGTAGTCCTGACTTCCTTGCTTATCTTCTCCCTCCTTCTGTTCTTCATCTGGACCTTGGGAGCTCAGTCCAGTGTTTCAGTGTGAGTCTCTATCTCTATCTCCATACATTGGCAGATGAAGGTTCTATGGTGATATGCCAGATATTCATCAGTGTGGCTATGGGAGAAGGCCAGTTTAGGCACCCTCTCCTCTGATGGCCAGTGACTTTGCTGGGGACATCTCCTGGACACCTGGGAACCCCTCTAGAGCCAAGTCTCTTGCCAACTCTAAAATGGTTCCCTTAAAGAAGCAATTTCCAAGTCTTCACACTTAAACCCATCTTCTTAAGTCAGATATGGTTTCACACAGCTGTAACCCCAGAACTCACAGGTACAGATGGATCTACTCTAGTTCCAGACAGCATGGGCTATATAGTGAGTTACCAGCGAGCCAGGCGGACACAATAGATTTTATCTTGGGTATTGATAGCATGGCTTACTCCATAGAAACACACCTTAGAGTGGAATTAGTATCCATACTGTATTCTTGCTGTCATGTATTTAACTAATCTTAAAATATGATACTTCCTAGATACACTTTTATGAATTGGCCTTAAGGACCACATTATTGAGAAATGCACCTGTGGACTCTCAGGCAAGAAAAGCATTCATTATGGGAATACAAAAGAAATCAGGAAGCCAAGACCTATCTGCCTCTGTTTTTCAAGCAACACAGCACCTGTGATAAACACACAACATATTAATAACATTCCAGGTCACATTGGGAAATAGAGGCTGTTGGCCTTGAGCTTGTATTGCCCTACAAGTACATAGTTCCCACAGAGGCCTGAAGAGGTCACTGTATCCCCATTCGTAGATGGTTCCCTCACACTGCAATGAGGGAGCAGCAAAAGCTCTTGAACTATGAGACATTTCTCCAGCTTCTGCTCTTGGCCTTTGTTGTTCAAACCCTAGGTGCTGAATAGGTTATGGGGATCACCCCCAACCACAGATAGAAGTCACTGAGCATGCGTAAGGACAGGTACACGAGGTAGACATGCTAATTGTCATAGGATGCCAGGTATCTATGGGGGGCTCAGGTTTCCCCACTGATCTATGTGGGTTCAGGGCCAGGCCACAGCATCAATTAATGTCAGGGTTAAAGCAGATCTGCCACCTCTCATCTAGGACGACATTGTAGACTAATCACATCTATGAAATGTCGAGTTGAGGTGACCCTCTTTGAGCCTGAATGTGGGACAAAGATGCCTTCATAGCAGAACTTTCAAGCTAAAGCAGTGCAGGGAAGGAGCTCCAGAGCAGGCACAGTGCATGGAACCTGCAACAGAAGAGAAATGTCTCTGGTAGAGAGCATGCTCTTGCAAGTTCTGGACAAGAGAGGGACAGCTGAAGTGGCCTTTGCCGTGATAGATCTGAGTGTATTGGTGAAGTTGACTGCTCTGCCATCTCCCCAGCTCCATTGAGGCAGGGTTTCTTCTAGGTGATTATTTTATAATAGTCCAGGTGCCAGGAGTAGATCCAACTTCTGAGACTGGAGCAGAGCCAGAGAGTGCAAGGCTGGAGGAAGTTTCTCAGACAGGTGCTGAGAAACCCGGGAATCATCAATCTCAGCAACCAGAGAACCATGATAGGGGATTTGGTTCCTCACTGCCATGGGGCTCCTTCTCTTTGTGAGCTGACCCTGACACAGAAAGGACCATCTATAGACACATTGAAAACTATGTGAGACTTGGTTTAGGCCACACTACCTTGTTCCTAGTATACTGTGTGTGTCTCCTTCTCCATCTTCTCAGTATCTGGGAGTAGTCTGGGGCCAGGTATAACCTTTTCACATGTGAATCCTCAGAAGAGTGTTTGGCTGGTTTGCTAAATGCTGACAGAAAGGTAGATTAGCATGGCTGCTTTAATATCATTTCTGAAGGTAGATAATAGTTTCATTTCAGCTTTTCACAGGCTAAATTGTCCTTAGTGTCAAGTGTGGACTGAAGCCCATTCTTACACCTCCCATTTATCTAAACAGCCCAGGTTGCTGGTTTGTTTGCAAGTTTGTGTGTTCTGCTTTCTTTTGTTTTTTTCTGAGACAGGGTTTCTCTGGGCAACCGTCCTGGCTGACCTGGATGGAGCTCCTTTTATAGACCAGTCTGGTCTCGAGCTCACAGAGATATGTCTGCTTCTGCCTCCCAAGTGCTGGGATTAAAGGCGTGACTACCACTACCCAGATACACACCCAGTCTTGAGTGCATTCTGTCAGCCATTCTCATGGTGTGGTCCTGGAGTGGACAAACTGACAGCTGAGTCATTTCATCCAGCTGCCTTGTTATTTCTGTAAGGATGAGTGGAATTCCAGACCCGGGAAGAAACTCAGTGCTAGAGCAGTTGCTTAGAATGCACAATGCACTAGGTTCAATTTTAACCTTTAAATTAGAGGTGAAGAAAAGATAAGGACCCCATGACACCAAGAAGCATAGATTAGAACCCATGGGGAGGCTCCATAGAGATTTTAAGTCCGCAGTCCTCCAGCATCCAACCTCACAACACCAAGCTTCACAGCCTCCTCCGTGAACTCCTGTTGAGCATGTATTTTTCACTACAGCAATCAATTTTTTGGGGGGTGGTAAAGACCATGGCTGCTCAAATTGAGCCAAATTTACAATTGGATACTGAGGTTAATCTTTATGAACTGGGCATGGGTTTTTGACCTCTGCTGGTCACAGAAAAGGCTTTTTGCTGTTTTTCATGGACCCTGGAATACAAGATTTACCAACTGGCTATCATTCTAGTTAGCTTGCCAGGGACCTTTCACTGGTGCCGAGGTCCTTACTTAAAAGGCTCCTTTCTGAGCAGACTTTTTATGGATTGTGCGAACACAGTCCCCTTTAGAAATGCTTGTATATATGGTGAAGCATCATCTTCATGGTGCCAGGGTCAATGGCTTCACAGGTCTGTCACACGGCAAGTCCTCTTAAACATTCGCCTCAGAGTATCTTTCAGCATAAATCCAGCTGAACTTGATGATGTATGACCTTGAGCCAGAGATGGGTTCTGTTTGTAGGAGGGGCAATCTCAACCTAAGACAGGAGCGTGTTTGGACCTGGGCACGTTTTCAATGACGACTAAGGGTACTGCCTGACGTCCTCTCCACCTAAGACAGGCATGGTCATCATATTTTATCTATTCTTGGGGGGCCTGTTGGATCCCTGGCTCTCCCCTGCTCCTTGAGGTACTATGCAAGATGGTTTACACTACCAGTCAAGCTTCCTGTTAACTCCTCTCCTCGATTCCACCAACGTGGGGGATTAACTCAGAGCCTTATTTGTCTTTTGGCATGGCAATTTCACCTGCAAAGGAGGGTTCTTAAGGTGCCAGTGTCTCTCTACCCTGACTGGCACTGCCTGCAAAGAATCTCTTACTTGGCGCCAGATTCCCCAACCCCCTCTCCAGCTTGGAGAGGCAAAAGAGTATGTTAACTTTTGGTTAAGCTGAATAAAGTTGGCATTTGCCTTTGGACAGATGACCCAGACCTCTATCTCTGTGTTGTACATCTCTGTTTAATTCCTAGGTTACTTTCCAAGCTCATGGTAAGACACGGAAAAGCACACGATCCGTGTCAGGTGGGAAGGAGTGCAGAATCGGGTGGAACACCACATAGAACAGCAAGTGCTCTATATATTTCAAGCTGTAGTTCTGAAGGTGAGGAAAAGCGTCTTCTTGTGGAGACACAGTAAGGAATAGTGCCTGGGCTAGGGGTCACTATTGAGATCAAGAATCACACCACGTTCTGGCCATATTGCTAAAAATTGTCTAGGTCTCTGTGCCAAATCTCATACCAGAAATCAGTCCATTAGGTTTCCTCCTGTTCTCTCATCAGATCGAATGTATTTTAGCTATAGTTCCACGAGTAGCTTTTGTCCCTGACCCAGACAGGACACAAACAGTCCTATGCTAAGAGTGTTCCTGGTGGTCACTGCTGGCAAAAGAATCATGAGCACAGTGTCCCCAGTTCTTACAGATACCCAAACTCGCCCAGGAGTCTCCTGATGTGTCTTTCTAGCCATGTCGTTCAGTGAAATATCTTTAACCTTACCTCTGTGCCCTGTCTGCAGCTAAAGAAAACCATATTGTGCCCTGAGACAGAAACCTGGATCTACTTGCCTGTGGTCAGGCCTCTGGTTTCCTTAGGAACAGCTTCTAGGATCATCAGCAAGTCTCTGATAGTTTCTTTTCTTTGTTTTGGGACAAGGTCTCTCTATGTAGCACTGGCTATCTCAGGACTGTCTACAACACCGAGCTAGACTTGAAATTGCAGAGATATACCTGCTTCTGCCTGCAGCGTAATGAATTTAAAGCCAGTGCTCCCTTCTAGGCTTCTCATTGTCATGAAATTCAGTGTGGGGAGTGTTGTCAGCTTCCTTTCTGAACTGACTGCTGCAATTTCATTCTTTTTAACACAGACATGTCAACCTCTGTCCCAAGACTCTGCCCTCATGCATAGTGGCCCCTAAGGTTTTTTGTTTGTTTTTTTTTCTTGTTTTGTTTTGTTGTTGAACAGATGAACTGGGGACAGAGAGAGGACTTGTGCTAATTGCTCTGAAATACAGACAAGA